TCGACAAAAGCGAATAATCATCCTTGAGCTTTTATTTGAAACACAAAGATAATTACTATTATTAATTGTTTGTATATTGGTGAGACAAAAAGGAATACTTTTCTTTACCGACGCGTTTCACCCCCTGACGAAACGCCTCGGTAAAGAAAATTATTCTTTTTGCTTTTATTCATATTGTCTTTTTACAGGTATGTATTTTAGTTATATCTGAATTTTTATGTATATCACTGATTATGTGTATTTTATAACTATATTATCAGGTATTGTTATTATTTTATTTAAATATATGCATTTGAGACGGTACAGCACAAGGATATATTTGAACTGCTAGGAAAACTCGATCTATTTCGAAAGGATTTTAGAATAATCCAGAACTTATATATTGGGAACAAATGGATGAAAAATGAATTGAGTAGTTACACAAAAATAGAAAGGGTCGTGAGACTAGGATGTGTTTTCTTCCAAGATTTATTCAACATCTACAGCAAGGCTATCCTAAGAAATCTGGAGACCCTACCAGGATTGCGTAATATTGACAATAAAGAAGCGCAGATGACGCTGTCTTCACGGCAAAGAAAACTACAGGACCTCCTAAAATGAGTAATAAAAGAAAGCGAGTAAAAAAGGACTAACCATCAACTGCAAGATGACAGAATGTATGGTCATCAGCAAGAGGATAAGACTCATGATACGAGTTACAGTTTGAAGATGTCAACATGAAGCAAGTAGAGATGTTTAAATACCTGGGAATTGATTTAAAAGAGAATGGTAAATACGGCACCGAAATCCAAACACGCATTGGACGAACGGAAGAGACATTCCAAAAGCGAAGCAAATTGCTTAAAAACATAAATGTTTCGTTAAAATCAAAAACAAAAGAGTGTTGGAATTCTATGTGTTTTCCATCTTCTTGTATAGCAGTGAATGCCGGGCTATCCCAACGGATGTGGAAAGATGCGGAGACAAAGAAATGTTGTTCTACAGAAGGATACTGAGAATTCTATGAACGGAGCAAGTAAGCAACGATGGTGTCTTAAGAAAAATTGCAACAAAAAGAATCCGTACGATCAGTATCAGGAAGAGACAGCTGAAGTCGCTTTGGCAGATAATGAGTAACAGATAACTGAAATCCGAAATAACTGAAATTTTGGATTGGTCTTGCTCTTATGTCCATCGTCTTTTTCATGGTGAATTGAATATGGTCTAATGTTAATTATGTTTTATGAATATGTCCTGAAGATAGTCTATTAGACCGAAACGTCCGACGTTGACATTGTATTAACATTAAAACAGCATAATTGCATATTAGGATTTTTGTTTGATTTTTTCCGTATATTTTTCTTCATACTGTCGGATCTATATCCATATATTTGCTTACATATATATATATATATATATATATATATATATATATATATATATATATATACCCACGGAATCATCAAAGATAGTTCTATTATTTATTCAGAGTTATCCTTGTTTGTAAAAGAACCGTATTCAAAACTGATTAAACTTAAAATAGATTGCAAACTGCATTTTTGAGTAAAGTATAAATAAAAAAAGACAGAGACAAAACGTAAATCTTTAACAATAATTTTATTTTGAAAATATTTTTTTGATAATCTGCTCATATGAGTTCAAAGTCATAAAAGTCTAGGTCTTCAGTTACGAATTGATTCGTTTGAACTTTTCCCTCAAAACAAATTTAGGAGTAAAATATACATTTTTCAAAATCGATTGAAAATATTTAGATATATTTATTGCTATTATAGACGGGTTTCACAATCCATCCTCGTCCTGGGTATGACGATAAACTACATCTGTTAGGCCTTTGATCGGGAGATTGGAAGTTTTGAGGAGCCTGGATCCACCTCTTAACTGCTTTTGTTCCCAGGTCCACCTTGACCCTGGGTATTAATACTTCTTGGCGTCCCAGCTATGTGAAAATAGTGATCCCAACACACAAAAATCAACAGTACATTTTTATAATAAAAGGAACAAGGTATTTTTAAAATGAAATGACTATCAAGGCAACACTAAAAAACATAATAAATTTTTATAGTAAAGTTACCAGCAATACTATTTGTACTTTACTTCTTTAAAATGCAGTTTGCAATCTAGTTTAAGTCTAATCAGTTTTGCAGTCTAGATTAAGTTTAATCAGTTTTAACATTGGAGTTTGCAACTAGTTTAAGTTTAATCAGTTTTGAATATGGTCCTTTTGCATACAAAAATAACTCTGAATAAGTAATAGAACTATCTTTGATTCATACACAACTATGTCAAAATGCAGGCACATTTTAGCAGCTGATAACTCACTTAATTTTTATTTATTTTCAGATTTAACCCGTTAAAATAATGATGGCGGACAAGTTAAACTTTGCACAAAATTAAAACGGATTTGAAGTCTGAAAATGCAATTGAAGCTCAAAGAAGGTTCGGGAGGGAGTTTCAAAGAGACGTACCATGACTATGATCTACAAAATATATATCTAAAAACCATACCTTTACTCTGAAAGTATAAGACTCTGCAGAAAATATCTGTAGTTGAAGGTATTTAATTGCGTTCAAAATATATAGATCTCGGCATTAAATAACCCATAGAGGTGTTGATATGCCACTAAAGAAAACCAACCAATCAAACAACATTCCATTCAAAGTTCTATAGGGAGATCCCCTCAACCACCTTAGCACTAATTTCTGATAAAAATTGGAACTAAACCGAAAACTAAGCTTACATCTTTGACCTCAACCTATTGTGTTGATCTGGGACGTTTGTCTAAAAGTATTAATGATATTAATTTCCAAAATACATTTTAAAAGTTTTCATTTTTATTTGATTCTTTTTTTTTTTTTTTTTTGAAACCTTAGTTTCCAAAATTTTTTATATAAATGTTATATGCACTGAAGATTCTTTAGGTCTGATATCAGAAAATAATCCCAAGAAAAAAAAATTTAAAATCAATTTTTGTTTGGTAGATCCAGTAGATCTGAAGAAAATGTTAATTTTATGAAAGGAACAAATAAAAAAAATATATATAAATCTATTTTTTGCATGAGGGAGATCAGAGGAAAAATTAAGTATTACTACCGTTTTTCACTTTCCAGTCTTCAGAGAGATCAAAAGAAATGACATGACCTTGCAGATCATGATTATTTTTCGATAAACTACATTAATTTTTAACATTAGTCCGGTCTATGAAGATAAACTACATCCGGCAGCAAGGCCTCTGATTGGGTGATTGAAGGTTTTGATGAGCGGAGGAACCACCTCTTAACTGCTGTTGTTTCCAGAACCATCCTGACTCCGGGTGTTAGCAGCTGTTTGCGCCACATCAATGGGCAAATATTAAAACTCCAAACACTATGAAAGTATAACTAAATTTATAGTAAAAGTAGATAGACAGACAGATAGAAACAAAGAGGCTGAGATAGATAGATAGAGAGAGAGAGAGAGAGGGGGGAGAGAGAGAGGGAGAGAGAGAGAGAGAGAGAGAGATGAAGAAATGAAGATTTGCCATAACATGAGATCGCAGAAATGATGAAACATTGTCATCTTTGTCCAATCATTTCTTCTGTTAAACAAATATGTCAAAACTAGAAACACGGAAATGTGTACGGATTATTGGCTTTGTAAGATATATATCACAGATTTTTCGATTGCATAAACGCATTCATATCTAATGAGACAGAAAGATATACAAAGCGAAATAGATACGCTCATAGATAGATAGATAGATAGATAGATAGATAGATAGGAAAGAACACAATACTATAGATGGGCACAGTTTGGTAACTGAGATAGATAGATAGATAGATAGATAGATAGATAGATAGATAGATAGATAGATAGATAGATAGATATGAAGAGGCTGACATAGACACATATTCTTAAAAAATTATTTAAAAAATTACTATTAATACATATTTATAATAAAATTACTTGCAATTTGGGCAAAAGGAACTTTCGCTTTCTGACCCCGAGACCCGGTTTCGAATCTCACCATGGTCACTTTGTCAGGAAGGTTGCTTCGTGATGTTATCGGTCTGAAAGGGGCGATCCCAGTGTGCGGCATCTTTGAAAGTGCCTGAAAAGCATGCCACGAGTGCCTGAAAAGGACTACGTTTTGACCCAAGCCTTGTGAGTGAAATTGGGTAGACGCAACCGTTGGGTGCTGTCGATGGCTGTGCTAACACGAAGTCACAAGTCATCGTGACAGAGGGTTTGATCGTGCTGGCCTTTTTTAAATTTTTGATCACGCTAGATGACACGCTTCTCTCCCAGAAACTGTAACATAGTTGCAGTATAAACTACAGTTGTGCTCTTCGGATGTTAAACAAACACAGTTGTACCTGAGCGGCCGTCTGCAATAGGAATTGACCAGCCATTAATGTAATATATATTTTTAAAGCAGAATTAATTACAACCAATACATTTTATAGAAAAATGACCACCAATACATTTTATCTGTACTTGAAGACATAAAACTTAGATATTTTATCTGTACTTGAAGACATAAAACTTAGATATTTAGATTTCGGTATTAAATAACGCATAGAGGTTGATATGGTAATATACAAAATCTACAAACCATATCTATTCTGTATATCCTCATAATATACACTCCTTACTCCCTCCTTCTACACACTTAGAACAAAGTCACTCACTCGCTCTCTCTCCCCTCTCTCTCTCTTTCTCTCTCTCTCTCTCTCTCTCTCTCTCTCTCTCTCTCTCTCTCTCTCATATGAATGGATTATTATCCACACTACGATCTATTTCCGGAGAGCGTGGTGATTTTCTTGTCATCTAAAACAAAAATCTTGTTTTGATGTTTGGTTTTCTGATTCAGCCATACCACATTATGTGATACGTGATACCCCAGGACACAAATTGTGCGCGCAAACAAACATTAAAATGTTCAATCATTTCTTCTGTTAAACGGAAATGTGTACTGATTATTTAATTTGTAAGACATATATTGCAGATTTTTGTCGGTTGTTTATAGGCAATCATATCCAGTGGGACAGAACGATGGACAGACGGATGCAAAATAGCACGGCCTATAGATAGATAGGAAAGAAGACAATATAATAAATTCGTGCAGGACGCAATGTAATAGATAGATAGATAGATAGATAGATAGATAGATAGATAGATAGATAGATAGATAGATAGATATTAAGAAATTGAGATAGATATGAAAAGATTGAGATAGATAGATAGATAGATAGATAGATAGATAGATAGATAGATAGATAGATAGATAGATAGATAGAAGAAACTGAAATAGGTAGATATTAAGAAACTGAAATAGATAGATAGATAGATAGATAGATAGATAGATATTAAGAAATTGAGATAGATATGAAGAGATTGAGATAGATAGATAGATAGATAGATAGATAGATAGATAGATAGATAGATAGATAGATATTAAGAAATTGCGATAGATATGAAGAGAAGAGATTGATAGATAGATAGATAGATAGATAGATAGATAGATAGATAGATAGATATTAAGAAATTGAGATAGATATGAAAAGATTGAGATAGATAGATAGATAGATAGATAGATAGATAGATAGATAGATAGATAGATAGAAGAAACTGAAATAGGTAGATATTAAGAAACTGAAATAGATAGATAGATAGATAGATAGATAGATAGATAGATAGATAGATATTAAGAAATTGAGATTGATATGAAGAGATTGAGATAGATAGATAGATAGATAGATAGATAGATAGATAGATAGATAGATAGATAGATAGATAGATAGATGGGATGTTTTTTGTGATTGCGGTTGGGTAAATAATGCATGTACACGAAAGCGCTCTCAGTGTTATAGGCGACATGTTTTTTTTTATTGTCATCGCATTTCTCCTCCTTTTCTACAGACGAAACGTTCTTTCCCTCTAGCTACTCTAACTCTATTTTCATGGCAAAATAATTAAGACGTACTGAATGACTTCATTCCACCAATCAAGGTATTCACAGCTCGGACCCACCACACCAGGTGCACAGAATCTACTCATTCCCATTACCTTTCTATTACAATTTGAAAGGAATAGTTCCACTCAGAGAGTCTTACAGACTCCCACGAGCATGCCTCCACGATCAGTTAGATCTTAACCTCTCCTAGTATAGAGCAAACCATTATCTCTCCTAAATATCCTTATAATATGTACCTCTTACTCTTACTCCCTCCTTGTACACCATTAAACCACCTCACTTAGTAATTCTCTATCTTGAGTGGTTGTTGCGCCATGTATTGGAGTAATAATGAGTAAATAAAACTTAATATCGGATCTAAGTCACCCAATTTTGACACCTGATAAAACGCTCCCCATATTTAACCCCTTGTTTAGCCCAGCATCACCAATGATTTTGTTCTTGACATTATTCAATCAAATGATTAGTTAAGAAGACCCCCCCCACCATCAATACTAAAATCACTGATAAAAGTTGTTTGACTTGAGAAACCTATTTTCCTGAAAAGTTATTTTAATAAAAAGATTGTATAAATTTCAACCTACAGCAGCAATGGATTGCTCGGGTGAAGAATACCGAATGTCGCCTCTGCAAACAGCAGAATCCTACAGTTTACGTGTGTGTGTGTGTGTGTGTGTGTGTGTGTGTGTGTGTGTGTGTGTGTGTGTGTGTGTGTGTGTGTGTGTGTGTGTGTGTGTGTCTAAAAATTTCAGATAGTGTATATCCGTAAAAGGACAAAAAAAAGGAAAACTTATCTTAGCCTAGGCGATTCGTCCTCTGAGGGATTTTATCGAGGCAAATTTAAGGATTTTATATTGTGACAAGTATCTTCTTCCTTTACGTGCTGTGTCTCTTCAGGACGTAGGCGATCATGGTTCTCCCCTTCCTTATTCTCCCAGACTCTGTTCTGCCATCCACATGCTTAAGCCCGTTAAGTATGACACGCATTGCTTTCCCTTGTCCCTCTTTCCCTCTATCCGCCCTTGGAGTATCAGATTTTTCAGGCCCTTCTTTTTCATTACGTGTCCCAGAAATTTCAGCTGACTTCTCCTGATTTCAAGTATAAGGTTCCTCCTTGCTTGCATCCTCCCCAAAACTTCATCGCTGTTCCAACGCTCGGTCTATGATATCCTTAGCATCCTTCTGTAGAACCTTACATTCGTTGCCTCGAGTCTCTTCTTCATCTTTGAGCAGACCGTTCAACATTCGCTCCCATAAAGGAGGGGTAAAAGACCACAAATGTTATTGGTTTTTCAAAATTTTTACACTGCGTGCCAAATTATTATCGAGATAACTTTTTTTATAATATTTCAAAAACCGTCCAATCAATTCACACAAAATTTTAACACAATATTGGCAACACTGACCTGCGCAATCAGTGAAATTCTTGTACTGATCTGCGCAATGAAAACAAACTGGCGCTATATTTGTTATCAGCACGGTGATTTGAGCGTGCCAAATTATAAGAAAAGTGTAAGAATTTAGTGAAAAGATGGGCCGTAAAAGTAGTTTAAGGAATGCTGAAAAGAAAACTATTACCTCAGAACTCTCAAAAAGTAAATCTACCCTAGAAATTTTTAAAATGATAGGGAAGTGTCATCGAACAGTGAAAAATTCACCTGCCGATCCTACACAAGTACGCAAAAGGGCATATAAAGGCAAGCCGAGGGTTATTTCACGTCGTCTCATGTCACGACTTAAACGAGAGGCCACGAAGAACCGTGGACTTACCAGTCAAGAGCTTTTCAGTCGCATTGGGGATCCTACTAAAGTACTCGGTGTCGGTATCTGAGGGAAATAGTAACAACAGTCAAACCTGTATCGAAGTCTCCTTTGACGAGAAATCATATTCAAAATCGATTGAAATGGGCCGAGGACAATATGAAGATTGACTTCTCTAAAGTTTTATTCACAGACGAAACTCGAGCAACACTTGATAGGCCAGATAGATGGTACAAAGGCTGGGTAATGAACGGACAGAATCGCCATCAGCGTTTGAGACGCCAACAAGGCGGTGGAGGCATAATGATCTGGGGTGGTATTATTGGAAACACATTAGTGGGCCCATGGAGAGTACCAGATGGCGTCAAAATGACTGCTGGTGCATACATAGCGTTTATGAAGGAGCATCTTGAACCGTGAATGAAAAGGCAAAGACTTGACTTCAGAAGGGCCATTGTTTTTATGCAAGATAATGCTCCCTCACATGCTGCTCACAAGACTACTGAATATTTAAAACAGTTAGGCTTCGATGGACCTCGAAAAATGAAGTGGCCAGCAAATTCTCCGGATTTGAACCCAATCGAAAACCAGTGGAGCATCATGAAGCGAAGACTGTACGCCAACGGACGACAATTCAGGAGCAACGCTGAGTTATGGGAAGCAATTCTTGACATATCTCGCAGCATTGCAGCAGATGACATCCTACAATTAACAAATTCTATGGATCGTCGACTTTTTCAAGTAATTTCAAAACAGGGAAAGCACATTCCCTATTAATTTGTTTAAAACTGTGCCTTTGTTGTATCTGTTATTATTTGTTTGATTATCTTATTTATTAGCTTCTTTTGATCATAAACATTCACGTGCAACATTAATAAACGTTTTGTTTGCTCAATTCTGAGAATTTTACTAAACCTTTCTAATAATTTGGCACGCTCAAATCACCGTGCTGATAACAAATATGGCGCCAGTTTGTTTACATTGCGCAGATCATTACGAAAAGTACGCAGATTAGTGTTGCCAACCTTGTTTGAAAATTTTGTGTGAATTGATTGGACGGTTTTTTAAATATTAGAAAAAAAAGTTATCTCGATAATAATTTGGCACGCAGTGTAGGTATAAGAGTGCTCATGAATATTCGTCAGGCTAACACAAAAGTCGCATATATATATATATATATATATATATATATATATATATATATATTGATGCATGTTTCATTAAATAATATAGACAAGTTTTGTCTATTTATTTTAAGTAAATTCCTTTCATATTGTCCTATAAGCTTAATAACATTATCATTGAAAGAAGAAAGAAAAACACCATATTGACACATATTTTTAATCCTATCTAAGCTTTCGGCTTACATAAGCCATTATCAAAGACGACAGTTACATTTCAATATATTAAACAATACACGGACAAAACAATAATGATAGTCTGTTTTTGTTGCATGAAAAATTTCGAAGCAAAGACAAACTCGTGTAGAGGAGACACGGAAGCGAAAATCGCACCGCAGCTCGTGACGTCACACATGACCACGCGAGAGTGAAAACGAGAAGTACGAGAAGCCGTTGGTATAAACCAATGGCTTCTATTATCAATTATAGGCATTTCAGAATATTTGTAGAGATTTCATAGTTTATTCTATTCAGGTTAGGTTTCAACTTTTTTATGTATATAGCTTCAAGAATTTTTAGTTGTTTATTGTTTTCATGTTTAAGTATTGTTGTGTTATATATATATATATATATATATATATATATATATATATAACAAACTGCTACATTAGAGCATGCATGTTACTACTACAAAATTGTATATTTTGTTTCGACATTTAAAGCGTCTCATCAGGTAGGTAACAATTAACATCTTAACATCATTGTTAACTACCTGATAAGACGTGTCAAACGTCTAAACATAATATGCAATTTTGTAGTAGTAACTTGCATGTTCTAATATAACAGTTTATAATAAATATTTATTGTTCTACTCTAGTATTGAGCCCTTTTTTTATAAATTAATGTTATAAATGTTGGAATTTTATTCTTTTCCTTCTTTTACATCTCTATAAAAGGCAAGATGTGTGTGTGTGTGTGTGTGTGTGTGTGTGTGTGTGTGTGTGTGTGTGTGTGTGTGTGTGTGTGTGTAACGAATGCACGGCCGCAATTTGCGATTGATTTGCACCAAAATTTACATGCACATGCTCCAAGTTAGCAGGAAGGGCAAGGCAGATTTTGCATTTCGCAACTCCCTTCGATAGTGGAAATAATCGATATTTTCATGCTTCTACGGCAGTTTTCATGTAGTTAGCGGCTATTTTCTACTGGCCAGAGTGAAAGCCAACAGCTGGCTGCCACGAATAGGCAGGAAGATTCTATTGGCCAGCGTGAGAGCCAACAGCTAACTGACACGAATGTTAACTAGCATGCTATCATGCAAAAAATCGATAGCTGCATTCGTCACAAGTGGGAAAAATTTAAATCTGGCACTTTATTCCAATTGGCTCATTCACTTGCTTAAACTCAACGTGTGATTCTGATTCCGCAGAACTGGGTTGGATGTGAAAAAGTATTTGTTGTTAACATTCTTTTTTCATTCGGTTTTTCCAGTTACGAGTCCTTTTTTAAAGCTGATCGTTTTGTGTTCATTTTGTTTAATTCTTTTTTTGTAACAGGTTTAATGTTTAGTATAGAGCTTAGAAAAATTCGCAGTGTGAGATAGGCAAGAAGTAAGGCATGTAGCAACATCAGCACGGCAAAGGGCACTCCCTTTAAAGGCAAGGAAGGGCAAAAATATTTTAAGTCAAGTGATAGCGATTGCTGTATGAGTCGTACGATTTTTGGATCAAGTACGGGCAACGCATGGGCCATGCTGCCAAATATAAATATATATATATATATATATATATATATATATATATATATATATTAAAATTATATTATATTGATAATCTTTTTCAAATTATTATAATTATTAAAATTATATATATATATATATATATATGTAAAATTTTATAAATAAATAAAATAGATAAACCGCATTCTTTTTGTACGGACTGGTTCCGATTGTTTGGATGTATATATATGAATAAATATATGTGTGTGTTTGTGTGTGTGTGTGTGTAGGGTACGTTATAATGCTATCATTTAAGATTTGGCTTCGGAGAAATAAATATTAGGCTGCTATTTAAAAAATAAGAAATCGTTAAAAAGTAGGTATTGTTTTTCTTTCTGTACGTAAAAGAAAATCAATCGGTTACCCTCTCTTCTGATTTTAACATTCTCTGCTGCTTACCCTGCTGGAAAAATAACATCTAGAAAATATATTTCGTTACACAAGCAAAAAAAAAAAAAAAAATTCCTTGAAGATTTTCCGTGTTCTTTATCGATCTCGACCCTACATGAATCTATGTGTTAATTTTCAGGCTTGACGACGAAAAACTATATATATATATAACCCAAATTACGTACGTGCTGTAGATGAAATCGCATATGTAATTAGAAACTTCGCATGGTGCCTAATGTGAAAAAAACGTCGACGGGATGAAAGACATATCAGTCTTCAGGGATTACCAGATGACATTTAGCAGTATCAATTCCGAAAATCTATAAATCGATTTTCTTTCTTTTTTTTTTTTGCTAAATAGGTCACGAACTGTATGCTTAACGATTCCGGCATTCATTAACTAAATTAGCAACTCTCAAAAACTAGAGTAAGTGTTATATAGGAATAAAATATCGCTGCCGACACTTGAGTTTGAACAAAGATCGCCAGTGTGCAAACACAGGCGATCCCATTATTGAATTAAGTAGACCACGTGACCATAGAGGAAACGCATATATGTAAGAAGTCGCGTGACGTCTAAATCTTTATCTATAAAAGGCAGGGTATGTGTGTGTGTGTGTGTGTGTGTGTGTGTGTGTGTGTGTGTGTGTGTGTGTGTGTGTGTGTGTGACGAATGCACGGCCGCAATTTTCGACGGATTTGCACCAACATTTACATGCACATGCTCCAAGTTAGCGGGAAGGCCAAGACCGACTTTGTATTTCCCAACTCCCTTCGATAGTGGAAATAACCGATATTTTCATGCTTCTACGGCAGTTTTCATGTAGTTAGCGGCTATTTTCTACTGGCCAGAGTGAAAGCCAATAGCTGGCCGCCACGAATAGGCGGGAAGATTCTATTGGCCAGCGTGAGAGCCAACAGCTAACTGACACGAATGTTAACTAGTATGCTAACATGCAAAAAATCGATAGCTGCATTCGTCACAAGTGGGAAAAATTTTAATCTGGATGGCACTTTATTCCATTTGGCTCATTCGCTTGCTTAAACTCAACGTGTGATTCTGATTCCGCAGAACTGGTTTGGGTGTGAAAAAGTATTTGTTGTTAACATTCTTTTTTCATTCGGTTTTTCCAGTTACGAGTCCTTTTTTAAAGCTGATCGTTTTGTGTTCATTTTGTTTAGTTCTTTTTTCGTAACAGATTTAATGTTTAGTATAGAGCTTAGAAAAATTCGCAGTGTGAGATAGGCAAGAAGTAAGGCATGTAGCAACATCAGCACGGCAAAGGGCACTCCTTTAAAGGCAAGGAAGGGCAAAAATATTTTAAGTCAAGTGATAGCGATTGCTGTATGAGTCGTACGATTTTTGGATCAAGCACGGGCAACGCCGGGTCATGCTGCTAGTGATTGCTATTTCTATTCTAGCCTCTATTACTATATGGACCGCTATTCTCTACTCTATTCAGTATACGATTTTTCTATTCGGATCACTATACGGATTACTGTTCGAGCGAGTATTACTATTAGTACAAGTTTTATTCCAATGCATCTGACACCAGTATTGTTCAACGGCGTTACTATAGTTGTATTTACGATTACAAAGTCTCTACTACAACAATCATTACGAAAATGCTAACAAATGTTCGTTGACATCACAAAAATAAGAATTATATATACTTAATATACATATTAATGGGCAAAAAACATCCTAATGTTATTTGACCAGTGCGGAATTTTTCAGCAACCGTAATTCACAACGTTGTGGTAAAGTTGTGGCATTTTTTAAGGTAAGAGTGGTTAGTTTAGGATCAGGAATGTAGTTGGTTGCAACTTTATACTAACGTCGCCATAAAGTCACATATGACCTAACAAAAGTGTTTGAAACATTGCATCTTCCAAGTTAGTAATTGTAATCTTAAAACCAAAATTGTTGTAATCAATTCTGTTCTACGCTTTTTCCTGTACTGTTCGTTTGAGATTCCTCTCAAGGAAAACATATAGCCAGTCGTTTATCTTTTACGTGACAAGTTTGCAAAATACGTTGAACTTTTAATTGATCAAAGATATTTCAATGCGTAAATTCAATATAATAGAACACTTTTGGTGTGTGATATAAAAATTTACAAAACTTCCTGATCATTCATTCCAGATCAAAGGAAACGTTGAGATAAAAAAATCAATCACTCAATACTAATGTAAGTGAAATAAATGGAAAGATTACAAATAAAACCTGCGTACGAAATACGAAAGTTCAAAACGAAACTTTATTTTTGTATAAAAAAATAAAAACGTAACACGTAATTCATAATCGTTTCTGATTTTAGATAATCTTTTATTTCAACGATATCATTTCTATTCTGTATTAACACTTTTGTTAGATCTCTGAAACCATTCAATGCGATTAACCTAGACTGTCATCTGTTTATCTGAAATCTTTAGATTATGATTGATTGACTAAACGACGTAGGATATAAATATACATTCTAGAAACGTACTTGAGTTATGGGGTCACGATGCATACCCAGTTTTCAATGGTAATGGTAATATTAACCGTTTCCATATAAGGAAACGTTCAGCATTCATTGACCGAGCAGCCAGTGCTACTTTCGCCTGATCGATGAAAATCGTTCTCTTGAAACAATTTTTCAGGAAAATAAGTTTCTCGAGTCCAGTAACTGTTATAGATCTTTCCAGTATTGGTGGGAGCTTCTTTTATAACCTTTTGTTTAAAGTAGTGCGGAACGTCAACATCTTGATTATGTCCTTCTTTTCTCTTCGAATCATATGCTATGCATTTTAAGTGTTTCCCCTTTTGAAAGTCCTCAGATGATGTGATTTCTATTATTTGGTACAGCTATTTGTTTGTGGTTATGCAGCACCAGCACACGAGTTTCGAGGAAAGATGTCGAAGGCATTTTTATCTATCGGCCGAGAAAGCTGCTGCATACACCTTACAATTTAGATCTTTCTGAACGGGTTTGCGCGCCATCCATAACGTCTATCTGCCTCGATCTGAGTAGGTTATTTGCTAATATTGCTAGAGTTTTTTAGGCTGATGGTTTGGTTTTATAACAATTTGCGATGTTGGGCGAAGCTCCCAATAGAGCAGCCTAATAAATGTTCAATTTCCGATATCAATATTTTTCATAACTGATTCATATACCGAAATATTTAAAGTGTTTCGTATTTACTAATTTCACATGAGGAACCTTTATACTGGATTCAGGATAAGTTTTATCGTTCTACTTCTAGCTCATAGTTCATGTTTTGGAAATATTTATCTTGAATCCTAATTCTTGGAACAATCGATATTCTTTTATTATATTGTTTCCAAATTCATAAAAGCCTTTACAATGGCGACAATGTTCCGGATGTTTTTTGTTTCGTATTTTTTTTTTTTTTTTGCTTGTTATTCTTATTATCGTGGTTCACACGGTGCGTATTTTTAAACGAGATTAATCCGATAAGTATTTAAATGGCTTCAAACTGTTGACGTGGGATATGATTGTATTAGGAAAGGGGCTTTCTAAATTGTTCAGAGACGAAACTGATCCCGTAAAAGACATTTCCTCGATTTAAAAAGCTTCAGATACAGGCATTAATTAATTAGTGTATCATTACTGGAGTTTCTGTTCGTTTAAAAACACAATGGCTGGCCGTAGCCGAAAAAGGCATTCAAATTCGAGTAAAGTTAATTTCAGCTTGATTGAAAATGTAGGCCCCTGGGCAGAGATTAAATGCCATAAAAAAACTGTAGATTGATACAATATCAAGTTTTATATATATATATATATATATATATATATATATATATATATATATATATATATATATATTATTATTATTATTATTATTATTATTACTAGCAGCATGGCCCGGCGTTTCCCGTGTTTGATTCAAAAATCGTACAACTCATACAGCAATCGCTATCAATTGACTTAAAATATTTTTGCCCTTCCTTGCTTTTAAAGGAGTGCCCTTTTCCGTGCTGATGTTGCTACATGCCTTACTTCTTGCCTATCTCACACTGCGAATTTTTCTAAGCTCTATACTAAACATTAAATCTGTTACGAAAAAAGAACTAAACAAAATGAACACAAAACGATCAGCTTTAAAAAAGGACTCGTAACTGGAAAACCGATTGAAAAAGAATGTTAACAACAAATACTTTTTCACATCCAACGCAGTTCTGCGGAATCAGAATCAATGTTGGGTTTAAGCAAGCGAATGAGCCAATTGGAGTAAAGTGCCATGCAGATTTAAATTTTTCCCACTTGTGACGAATGCAGCTATCGATTTTTATCGATTCACGCTGGCCAATAGAATCTTCCTGCATATTCGTGGCAGCCAACTATAGGCTCTCACTCTGACCAGTACAAAATGCCCGCAAACTACATGAAAACTGTCGTAGAAGCATGAAAAAATCAATTATTTCCACTATCGATAGGAGTTGGGAAATGCAAAGTCTTGGCGTTCCCGCTAACTTGGAGCATGTGCATGTAAATTTTGGTGCAAATCCGTCGAAAATTGCAGTCGTGCATTCGTTACACACACACACACACACACACACACACACATCCTGCCTTTTATAGATTATTATTATTATTATTATTATTATTCAGATAATACTAAACGAAGACGTAAGATAAACTACAGCTCGCAGCAAGGCCTCTGATCAAAAGTTATTGAGGAGCGTAGAACAACCTCTTAATTGCTGATTGTCCCAGGTCCACCCTCACCGAGGTGGCAGCACCTGTTAGGGTCCCAACTATGGGTAAATAGTTAACTCTCAAACTGGGGTCAAAGTACTGTGAAAGTGTAAAAATAGGCTTTCATAGCAGCAATACATTCTTGAAAAATTATTCCTAGCAATACATTTTTGAAGAAAAATATTACCGGCAATAAACCTTTGTAAATAATTATTAACAGCAATACATTTTAGAAGGAAAATACATTACCAAAAATGCATTTTTGAAAGAAAAAATATTACAAGCAATACGTTTTTGGAAAAAATATTACCAACAATAAAAAATATTGTCGGCATTAAATGACCCATTGGGTTTGATATGCCGTCAAACAAAACAAACCAAACCAAGAGTCACTCAAGGTAGAGTTTGTTGTAAGTGCGTAAAAAGAGCTTATTTAAGGATATGTAGGAGGAATAACGATTAACTTTAGACTTGAAGAGGTTAAGAATGTAGTGTTCGGGGAAGCATCCTCTTGCGAGTTTGTAAAAGACTCTAAGATGGGACTTCCTCCTTATCAATGTAATACGAATGAGAATAAATCAATCCAGTGCCTTTGGTACGGAAGGTCCTAGATAGGAAGGCCTTGATTGGTGGAACTAAACCACACAGATCCTTCTTTGGATTTTGTCAAGTATCGTGAGACGAAGAGTAGGACCACCAGACAAGATATGGCAACAGCATTCAATTCACAAGCGAATGGTAGATTGTTAAATTTGCAAGATGTATTCTGACGAGAAAAAAATTCTAGCATGACACAATTAGCCAACTTTACTTGCAGTAGACGTCGTAATTGATTTGATATAGTCGCTCCACTTCCTGAAATTGAAAAACATGAGGCCAAGAATCCGTAGAGTGTAGCTCACATGAAATATGACTGTTTGTTTTATGTTGCTTACAATCAAATTACTGTAAGTTATGCCATATTGTTGTCATATCATTTTACTAAGCCAATGTTTTGTTATCGCCACAGATATTTTATGAATTTTTGTACGTGTTTATATTTTATTTCGTTTTATTCTATTTCTGTGTTTTGTGAATATGCATTTTCATTTTCAGCCAGCCACTACAAACTCGTTCCGGAGAGTGTGGTGTTTTTCTTTTTTTTCTCTCTCTCTAAATGATTAAGACTTGTTTCGTTTTGTTTTATTATCTTTTTTAACCTCAACCTATATCTCCTGTTGCAAAGCCTTAGCATCTCAGTGCACTATTGCTGTAGCGTCATAGATTTTTATCAATTCCAGTTCGTGTTCATATTTTATTTTTATTCGCTCTCTTTTGCTTTCTCTCTCTGTCTCTCTCCAACCCTCTCTCTTTTTCTCTCTCACTCTCTCTATCTCTCTCTCTCACTCTGTCACTCTCCCACCCTCTCTCTCTTTTTCTCTCTCCCTCTCTCTCTCTCTGAGTTTTTTTTTTTGTGTGTGTGTTGGGAGTATGTAGATGGATTATTATCCCCACTACAAAATTGTTCCGGAGACCGTGGTGATTTTCTAGTCATTTCCTAAAGCAAAATCATGTTTTGATGTTTGGTCTTCACATGAAGATTTGCCATAACCTGAACTCGCAGAAATCATGAAACATTGTCATCTTTGTCCAATCATTTCTTCTGTTAAACAAATATGTCAAAACTAGAAACACAGGAATGTGTACGGATTATTGGCTTTGTAAGATATATATCACAGATTTTTCGATTGCATAAACGCATTCATATCCAATGGGAAAGAAAGATACACAAAGGCGAATAGATAGATAGATAGATAGATAGATAGATAGATAGATAGATAGATAGATAGATAGATACTTGTTGTTGTGATTGGAAAAGAATGAAGCTCTGAACTGTTACAGACGAATATATAAAAATAGATAGATAGATTAATCGATCGATCTACATGAAAATAGATAGAAGATAGATAGATCGATATGACTATATGAAAATAAATAAACAGATATAAATGAAAATAGGTGCAAATGAAAATAGATTTATGTGAAGATAGATAGATAGATAGATCTACATGAAGTCGATAGATCTATATGAAATATATAGATAGATAGGAAAATAGATAAATAGATCTAAATGAAAATGGATTTATTTGAAAATAGATAGATAGATAGATAGATAGATAGATAGATAGATAGATCTACATGAAGATAGATCTACATAAAGTCGATAGATCTATATGAAATATATAGATAGATATGAAATTATATTAATAGGTCGAAATGAAAATAGATCTAAATGAAAATAGATCTAAATGAAAATAGATAGATTTATATGAAAATAGATAGATAGATAGATAGATAGATAGACTGTTGCTTGTGATTTGATTAGATAAAGAATGAAAGTATACAAAAACTCTCAACTGTTACACACGAATATATGAAAATAGATAGATAGATAGATAGATAGATAGATAGATAGATAGATAGATCTGCATGAAGATAGATCTACATAGGAATCGATATATCTATATGAAATATATAGATAGATATGAAAATAGATAAATAGATCTAAATGAAAATAGATCTAAATGAAAATAGATTTATATCAAAATAAATAGATAGATAGATAGATAGATAGATAGATAGATAGATAGATAGATAGATAGGATCTTGCTTGAGATTGTAATTGGAATGAATATATACAAAAGCTCTCAACAGTTACGGGCGAATTGTCCTTAATTTGTTCGATTCTATAGATGTACCCTCGGCGTTCTGAAGAGGTGGAAAGTAGATAATGCTAAGGAAAACCCTTTTCGACCGAATCGGGCAAATCGTTCAAATCAAGATTACTACGCGGGCCCCTGAATATGCATTATATTAACAAGGCTAGAAGGAACTGTTGTTTAGTATCGATGGCATTTTACTCATTCGGGGCATCTCTACATCAGTTGCGCGTTCGTGCTTGCTGACTCACTTTTTCCTGACTGTCTACCGGCTTAAGAAATGTGTGACAAAGGTGCATAGCCGAGTACTAAGAAATAATCAAATTTCGGTAGAAACAAGAACACTAAATAATTACGTCATATCTGCCCTCCTGAATGGTAATAAGGGCTGAACGATCTCCTCAAAGATGAAGAAGAGACTTAAAGCAACAGAAATGTCGCTCTACAGAAGGATACTGAGTATACCGTGAACCGAACACGTGAACAAAGGTTTCGAGAAAATGGAAACAAGAAGGAAATATACTTAACATCAGGGAGTGGCATGTTTGATTTCTGGGACACGTAATGAGGAAAGAGGGCTTGGAGAATCTTATACTCACAGGAAAGATTGAAGGCAAGAGAGATAAATAGCGCATGGCATTTTTGAATGTCGGAAAAACGTTTTGGAGAAATAACAGAAAAACAATATTTATTAAGTGATACAAAAGACGGGAAGTTGTGGAGAGCCATGATCACGTATCACAGAGATCGGGTTCCTATGGACTATAAGTTTCTTTTTTCCTTCATTTTGGGGTTTGCTCGTTTATATAAGAAATCTGAATCGACCTTAGCCAAGTTATTTTTTTAAGGTAGTGCTTGGTTCAAAATTTGTATCACCGTGTGCTCTTGTTCGATCTATGACATCTGCACTCGGTGTCATACTTGTTGATTTGCTATTTATCACGGTTGCTTTCGTTTTTTCCCTGTCCTCATTTGTGTTTCCTCGTACAGCATATCTTCATTTTGTTTTACTTTATTTCACTCATTCGAGACATGTTCTAGAATATAACAAATGGTAATGGCAACAGAAACAGTGAAAAGTGACCGTTTCTTCACAGGAAACATTCAGCATTCTTTGACTGGAAAGATAACGTGACTCTTGGTTGAAATACATAAGATATCTTTCTTTAAACAGTTTTTTTATAGGAAATCAGACTCATATCGTTCTTTCTAGTATTGATAGGAGTTGCCTTCCATGACTTTTGTTTAAGGCTGTGGGGAAAGCAGATATCTTGATTTTATTGCTACTTTAATTTCTATCAACATGTGCTATCCATCTTGTTGTTTCTCAAGTCCAGTATCTTTTAAGAACTTGATCAAATAACAGAAACCACATTACTTGAAGACGTACAACAGCAACAACTAAATGGTTAGCAACATAATTAAATAATGACGATTTTTAAATTCCGCACTATCTTTAACAATGGTTAGGAAGAAAACCCCTACCACTATTAAAAAAAAGCGAGAACAATTTGCTGTTTGAAGTATTTTCCCGTTATTTGACAAAGCTCCTTGTTTGTGATTTTCTAGGGTCTGATAGAGGATTGTTTCTTAAATATCTAAATCATTCATTCCCATGAAGTGATTTTTAGTCATTGGATTGAGAAAACGTTTGTATATAGATTAAAACCTAATAATGTCGGGACGACACCAATGCCATGCACGACATGCACACGGGAATATAAATTTGAGGAAGCTATTTATGTACATTACTCAACTTCCCAGGTATTGATTTTAGTTTCTGTTTGGGAAAGATTTGTCTTAAATCCTATTTCTTTAGAGGACTTGGTAATGAATGTTGATTTTTGTTAAATATCATTTTTATAGCTATAAGATAGATAAATCTATATGAAAATAGATAGATAGATAGATAGATAGATAGATAGATAGATAGATAGATTAGATCTATATGAATAGAAAGACATGTGAAAATAGATAGATGAAATAGATCTAAATGGAAATAGATAAAGAGAGAGAGAGATATGAAAATAAGTAGATATATAAAATAGATCAAAATGAAAATAGATAGATAGATAGATAGATAGATAGATAGATAGATAGATAGATAGATAGATGTATATGAAGATAGAAAGAGAGATGAAAATTGATGAAATAGATCTAAAAGGAAATACACAGATAGACACTCAGAGATATATCCAGACATGAAAATAGATACATTAAATATATCTAAATGAAGATAGATCTATCTATCTATCTATCTATCTATCTATCTAGATAGATAGATAGATAGATAGATAGATAGATAGATAGATAGATAGATAGATAGATTAGGGACTAGAAATGGCGAGAAACATTTCATGAGACTAAATAAAACGCTTATTTGAAGTGGTTAGTGATAAAAGCTCCAGACTAATTTTCAACGATGAGGTTTTGTGAACGGTGAAAATGTGTTAAGGTGGACTTATTTCCTTCACTAACTATCGCAGATTTTATAGTAACTAGTTACGAACTAATTCAGAAAATCTGGCTTCTTATATTACCGACTGATTACATTCATGAGGAACATTAATGAATAATTCAGAGATTGCTTTTATTTAACATTTCTTAAAACATTTCCTTACCTAGACGTACAAATACACCTTAAACACACACACACACACACACACACACACACACACATATATATATATATATATATATATATATATATATATATATATATATATATATCAATAAAGGTGCAATTAATTTACAAATTCATGAATTATTCATACAAAAACAAATACAAAGGTTAATGATTTAATTGGCGAGAAATCCATCGTCGCGAACAACTCAAATAATATACAAAAACACCGAACCTGTTTATGAATGAAAAGATCCTTGTTTCTATAAATTTCTGTTGCATATGTTCTTATTATTTTTACAAGCTTTCGTCTGTACCTACAGGTATGGAATAGATTTTGTTCATAAGGAGAAAAGCTGAAAATGTAGAATAATGAATTTATTACAATATACAACTTTATACAAGCTAAAGAAAATATTCATAAAACTACCTGAAACATTTTTTCTAGACTTTATATCTGAAAAAGTTTTTATGGCACTTTCTATACCTATCTTCTTTACAAGATCATTTTCTATTGACAAAATAGCCAAAGAAATTAATCTGTCTTGGGTCATGGACGACCGCAAGTATGTTTTTGTAAACTTTAGTTTTTAATGATCCCAAACACTTAACATGGCGGCATGATGGCGCTCTTGGCCTTAATTTTAGCCGGCCCTGTTTGTGTAGTGGGTTGTTCGTGTGTGTGTGTGTGTGTGTGTGTGTGTGTGTGTGTGTGTGTGTGTGTGTGTGTGTGTGTGTGTGTGTGTGACCTGACATTAAGACAGTCCTCAAGAAAGAACTCGGGCACTGTTTGCTGACTGCACTGTTGCTGTCGGGTTAAATTAAACTTTTGCAAACCTCGTTCATTCTCGGATGAATTGTGAATGCCATCCCGCTAGCTATAATCAGTTCCCGCTGTGTTTCAAGTGGCCACGCCGCGATCCGTTGCCTGCCGTGTTGCAGTTGGTGTTGTGTTTACCTGTCGAATAGGATATCCGACAAGCCCGTGGTATACGTTTTAGCTGAAGTCAAAATCTCAAGGCCAATCTGATGATAACAAGCAACTATTTATTACTGGCAATCAATACGCAATTCCGGCTTCTTCCTTCATTTTGCTTGTAGTTAGGGCGAACGCTAGTATGTATACTTTCTCTCCTCTTAATTCATTTACTATGCACAATCAATCTAACAATAGTCAGTACTTTTTATTTTGTCTGCGTTTTTTTTTCTTTTGAGATTTTTTTTTCTTTTCAACTCAAATTCATTCTTATGATTTCCGCGGAAGTTAGCGGTATATGGTCAGGAGACAAGACCGTCTTTATTGACTGATTGGAACCGGTCTCTGCCAGTATTCACTGCAGGTGAACCTTTCAGGTTATAAATCCTTCGGACACTTGAATTGTCACATAGTCCTTTTCTTCAGACAAAGAAGATTCTCTTGACAAAAACCAGATTCACTTACCTTGTCAACGGGAGGTGGTGGGATCGTAAAGAAATATATGGGGTTCATCTAACCCCATAAATTTCTTTACTTTCAGAAATAGAGTCGAGAAATACATGTCTTTTAGAGTAATAAAAATATTCCGATAATTTTACTCACTCGGTCATTCGAGGATTCTGTCACGTACACGCCCATTTTAATTAGGAATATGGGTTTCGGTTCTCACCAATTCTGACCTCATAGAATGTATACATTCGAATTACCTCTTTTTTTCTTTTATTATCATTATTTTCTCAGATTCCTGCATTGGTCTACTCACTTTAATTTTCTTAATATAACGTTTACTCTAGCTATGCATCCTTAATCATACATTACTAAAATGGATGAGGTCATCACTCTGTGACATGCATATCTCTCTCTCTCTCTCTCTCTATATATATATATATATATATATAATTATTTACTCGAAAATTATAGCATAAATATGTTAAAAAATCACTACAAAAATAGCCATTTTATTTCAACACCTCTGGTGTCTTATCAACACCATCCCTTGATAAGACACCAGAAGTGTTGAAATAAAATGGCTATTTTTGTAGTGATTTTTTAACATATTTATTTTATAATTTTCGAATAAATAATTATATCTGCTCAACCCTGTATTGAGCACTCTTTTAAGAATAGTATTTGTTGGTTATTGGAATTTATTCTGCAAAACAACTTATACTT